CAATGGGCACCAAATAGGGGCTATATAAGAAGATAGGAGAAATGGAGAAAGGGGAAGAAGTAAGAGCAGTGAAGGGGATGGGACGAGAAGAGAGAGAGAGAGAGGGTAAGAAAAGGAGGAAGAGAGAAACACATAAATTGAGAAATTGTACATTATTCAATAATCATACCATCAAAGTTAGTTCTAAACAAATTAACCCTCTATACATATTGGTGTTTGATTAACCTAGTTCAAGTAGGAAACACAATAAGAAAATCTTTCAAGCTAAGTCCTAATTTCTCTACCCAAAATAAGTATTCAAATTTAGCAAGTCTTCAATATAATTTCATTATGGATCTCCGTCAATTTCATATGTTTGTTTGACATGTGAGACGACCTGGCAAACTATCTTCATTCATATTTTCCATCTTAATTCTAGTTTTAATAGCTCTGGTACAGTATTTAACTTACAGAAGTATGTTGAGTTAGAGAGGTTAACTCTTGAATTGTCGTTTTGGCCTCTTCTCTTAGTTGTTTGTGAACATCAAGATCTGAATCCAACCTAACATGTAAGTCATTTTGGTGAATATCTTTCTTCAACTTCTAAAGACAAGAATAACTTGCAATATGCCCCCCAGGGCACATCCCAACTGGTAAAGATGAGGGCTCTTCAAGGCTGGCAGATCAGAGGTCATGAGTTCGATTTCTGGAAGGCTCTTAGAAGGCAGATATTTTTCTGGAAGGCAGGATTTATCCTAAAAGGCAGGAGCTCTACTGGAAAGCAAGGTGCAAAGATAGGAAACGACTTGCTTGACACTTTGGCGTATCAGTTGGGGGGCTCTTGAGCACTGGTCAGTTTAGGGCACAACCTGCGGTTTAACCTGTCTGCAGCTTGAGAGGTCAAGGTGTAGACTCCAGGATTTAGTCACTGTAAGGTGGATACCTGGATATCAAAAAAAAAAAAAAAAAGAATAACTTGCAATAAATATGAAATATATCCCAATGCACTTTGAAAAGAATCTATCGAAGTTGTGAATTTGTGCATCCTTACAGAGATTCCCAAATCTTATAACCTTGCGAGAAAAGACATCAAATTCTTCCCTACACAATAAAAAAACTGATGGTTTTCTTGTAGTGATGAAGTTAGATTAGACGGTTCCATATGTTTTGTGTGGGATAATTTTGGAGGTAGAAAATAATTGGCCTTTTGTTGGAAGTTAGTAATATGAAAGATTTTGATATAAAGTAATTTAGTAGGCAAAGTGGGTAGGAGAAAGGAATTTTATTGGAATAACAATAGCTTCTGCTTACAATGAGGTTTTATTTTATTTTATTTTATTATTATTTTTTTTTAAGCCCATCAAGCATTTATTCATATCAACCCTCACTTAAGGCGGAGGAAAACCGTAATAACAACCAATCAATCAATAAAAAATAATGAATAATCTCTACTCCTATCAATGTAATCAAACAACGGAAAAGAGCCTATCTTTTTTGACGAATGTACACCACACCCATCTTGTCTAGATGGATCAACCCTCGACAAAACTTTGGTAGTTCCATACATGATAAGAATCGTTTTGTCTTCCCCTTAGCTCCTAACTTCGCCAGCTCATCCGCAACCTGATTAGCTTCTCTATACTGATGCATGATGTGAAAGTCAAACTTCTTGAGAAGGTCTATGAGAACTTCCCAAAAATCCCACAAGTACCATAACGTACATTTTCTTATCAGAATCTAGGAAACCACTAACAACGAATCACATTCAATATCCACTTGATATAATCCCAAATCCTAACACAAGGTCAGTCCATCAGTAAGCGCTCTCAACTCTGCCTCATTGTTAGTGCCATATCTAAAGAAAGAAAAGAAACCTGCTATCAGCCTGCCCGTTTCATCCCTTACAATCCTACCACCACCAACCATACTTGGGTTGCCTAGACAGCTTCCATCTACATTTAGCTTTACTTTGCCCGCCGTCGGTTTAGCCCATTTAACAATCCGAAGAGGTCTCTCCTGATTCACCATTGGACTAATATCAAAGTTTCTAAGAAGTAATTCTTCTGACCACGAGAGAACTCGTTCTTTTTTCAAACTGGATGACACATGTTGCAGCCAGAATTTAATCAAACGAAAAATCTGCTCCAAGTTTCATGAACACCTTCCATTCTAGCTTTACAATGTCTCATCCATAGCCTCCACATCAGTATAGTTGGAAGTAACCCTTGTAAGTACCCAACTTATGATTTTTTACCTGCAATGGCCCACCATAAATTTATTCTATCATACCAGTTTTGTTTAGATCTCCACCGAATACCCAAAGCCACTGAAACTTTCCTCCAAAATTCGTTTGCCACCTCACCTATACTAAGAACATGGTTGGGTGTTTCTTCATTTCCCGTTAGGCAACAATCACAACGAGAAGCTAAGGCTACACCCATTTGCCGAACTCTACTATCAACACTTAAAGCTTTAGAAAAAGCCTTCCACATTATCACTGACATTCTTTTTGGGAGTGCAAAATGCCATACCCATCTACCCCAAGAGGTTTGGGGCTGCCGAACTCTAATCATGTCCCATGCACTCTTGGAAGAGAATGTTCCTTGACTATTCGGTTTCCAAATAAGAACATCATCCCCCTCTCTACATTTACTCACCTTAGCCATAACACTAGCGGCTTTGTCTTCCGCTACAAGTTGCAGTAATTGATGCATATTCCAACAACTATCCAAGCAAATATCATTGATTCTAAGAGTTGGTTGATCAATATGTGATGCGTCCCGTGACAAAGGGTCGTCATCTAACCAATGAGCATACCAGAACGAGATAGAACCCTCCCTAATCCGCCATTGACTACTATTAATCACATCAGGGATGCATCCCACAATAGAGCACTAGGATCAAGATCTATACAGCGTAAATTGGAGACATCAATCAAACCATGCTTCGTATATTTTGCCCGAAAAAAAGTTGCCCATAAGCAATCTGATGACAGTAATTTTCATGCAAACTTCATGTGTAGGGCACGCTGGACATCTTCAAATTACCTAACTCCGATCCCTCCCTCCACCATTGGTTTACAAAGTTTATCCTAAGAATATCATTTCTTTCTAGCCCTTCCATTAACCTCACCCCAAAAGAAAGATGAGAGGATGGAATTGAGTCTCTTAAAAATAGATTTTGGAACATTCAACACAGACAACAAATGGGTAGCCATACACGTGAGAACATGATGAAGTAAAACCAATCTGCCCCCTTGCGATAGCAATTGAAGCTTGCAACCTGCAATTTTCTTTCTGATTTTCTCCACCAAGGGCTCAAGATGGCGGGCAGTTAAACAACCCTGGACCACTGGAACACCCAAGTCGATAACTGGAAATTGACCCTCCTTAAAACTACTCTCCCTTAGTGCGACTCCTTTTCGAGTCACTGAACAATTTTTTGGAAAAAAAAATAGCAATCTTTTCCTTGTTGATCTTTTGACCAGACCAGCTCTCATATAGCCCTAGAACCTTCATGAGCTCTCTGATAGACCTTTTCCCTCCATTGGCAAAAATGATTAAATCGTCAGCATACATCAAATGAGTTATCGCAGTCGCGCCACTAGGGTGTGAGAAACACCCAATCCGTCCTTCCTCAAAACCCCTCTTCAGCAGTCTAGTCAACACCTCTTGCATGATAATAAACAAATAAGGGGATAAAGGATCTCCTTGATGAAGACCACGCGATGATTTAAAAAAACCTTGCATGGTTCCATTCATCATCACTGAGAACTATGGTGTGGATATACACTGTTCAATTAATTTACAAAACCTCGTTGGGAACCCAAAGGATGATAAAACATGAAGTAAGAAATGCCACTCCACCCTATCATATGCTTTAGCTATATCTACTTTAATCATCACATTTCCACCACGAACCTTTTTATTGAGAGAGTTCACTAATTCTTGAGTGAGTGTAATGTTCTCAAAAATACTTCGACCTGGAATGAAGGCTCCTTACTCTTGAGAAATAATCCTAGAAAGTATAATACTCATTCTCTATACCAAAATCTTTGAAAATATTTTGTACACAACAGAGCAAAGACTGATTGGTCGAAACTTATCAAAACCGCTAGGATTCTCCACCTTTGGGATCAACACTAAATAGGATGATGTATAAAATCGAGGAAACACCCCTCTTTCAAAAAACTCCTTTGCTGCCTCCACTAGGTCCCCTTTAATAATATCCCAACACTTGATAAAGAAAGCTGATCCATATCCATCAGGCCCAGGTGCGCTATCCATAGGTATCGAATGAGTTGCAGTTCGAACCTCCTCTTCAGTCGGCAAAGTACATAGCATCCGTCCTCCCTCTTGAGAAACTGCAGACTCAATGATATGAGATAAATCTAGCACAATTTTACTTTCCTCGCTCGTAAGAACAATCTGAAGATATTTCACAGCTTCTGCATGCATTTGCTGCGGAGTCGACAGAATAGTGTCGTCTGTAAGCTTCAGCTGATTTAACTTTGATTTTCTTCGTCTTTGCGAGACTACAGCATGATAAAATTTAGAATTGTTATCACCGTCAGACAACCATTTCTTTTTTGCCAGTTGGGACAATCTAATTTTCTCTCTTCTTTGCCATTCCTCCAATTCAATTTTAGAAATCAAGTATTCTTGTTCTGCCTCATTAGAAAATGCAACTTGTAACCTGCTATCGAGAGCCTCCACACGTTCTTCTAACTCCAAAATAACATTATCAACCCTCCCAAAAATCTCTTTATTCCACACTTTCTAAGCCACCCAACATCAAACCACTATCTCCCAATCTCCATGCTGCCTCCACAAGTGGCAAAAAACCCTCATATCGAAATGGAGTCGGGCCATACAAAGCATACTTCTTTTGCAATGTTTGAGCTCTATCTCTTTATTTGCTTCAGCTTCTCTGATGAAATGGTACTTGATGCTAATGTGTTTGATTCTGCTGTAGAATACGGGATTCTTGGCCATTTCTATTGCCGTCGCAGTAGATCTCTATTGCTTTATTTTGTGGTTATCCCATGTCTTCAAGTATACATTTTAACCATATAGCTTGACTCGTTGTTATTGCTGCTGCAATATACTCTGCTTCAGCTGATGATTGTGCAATCGTTGCTTGTTTCTTTGATGCCCAAGAGAATATTCTGGAACCCAGTGTGAATGCGTAGCCTGATGTGCTCTTCAGATCATCTATTGATCTTGCCCAATCGCTATCGGTATACCCAAGTAGTCTTGAGTTAGACGTAGACCGATACCTTATTCCATAGTCTTTTGTTCCTTGGAGATATCTTAGTATTCTCTTTGCAGTTCACTATGGAACTTGACTTAGATTTTGCATGAATCTTGAAAGTAGGCTGGTTGCATACATTATGTCTGGGCTTGTAGCTGTGAAATAGAGCAAACTTCCAATTAAGTTTTGAAATTGTGAACTATCTGCTTTTGGAGTGCCATATTCTTTTTTAAGTGATTTGTTGCTATCCAGAGGTGTTGCTACTATTTTGCAACCTTCCATCTTGATCTTCGTTAATAGACTAGTGTTATGCTTCTTCTGAGAAATGAAGATCCCATCTTTAAATTGAACTATCTCGATCCCAAGAAAATAGTGCATTAATCTCAGATCAGTCATCTCGAACGTTTTCATCATATCTTCCTTGAATTTCTCAATCATCTTCTCATCGTTCCCTGTATAGATGAGATCATCAACATATAAAGAGATTAAAAGTGTACTGCTTGTACTTTAATTTTTGATGTATAGAGTTGGTTCACTTTGGCTCTTCCTAAATCCTTACTCAGTGAAGTAATTGTCTATTCTGCTATACCACGCTCGTGGAGCTTATTTTAATCCGTATAGGGCTTTCTTTAGTTTGAGAACTTTATCTTCTTTTCCTCGCACCATGTACCATTGAGGTTGTTCTATATAAATTTCTTCTTCAAGATAGCCATTAAGAAATGCTGATTTAACGTCTAGCTGATAAATCTTCCACTTTTTCTGTACAGCTAGCGCAATCAACGCCCTTATAATGTCAAGACATGCGAATGGAGCAACGATCATCCATAGCATTTCTCCATTCTGGTTGTTTTGAAATTGCTTCATAGCTTTTAGGTTGCAACAATCATCAAGTTGCAGCTTTGATATATTTTCGATAATCTTCATGTCTTTCTTGGTAACGATTCTGGTGAGTCAACTGGTTTTTCAATTGTTGCTTGCTGTGGGGAATCTGGTTGATTGTTCTCCTCAACGTCACCCTTATGCTTTTCTGGTTGTGTAAGGATGCTGATAGCTTTTCTCTCGACTTGACTAGTCTCCTAGTTATAGGTGGCATCTTCATCAAACTTAACATCTTGACTTATAATCAGCTTCTTTGTTCTTAGGTTAAATACTCGATAGCCTTTTGATTGAGTACTATAACCTAAGAAAATTCATTTTTCTGCTTTTTTCATCTAGTTTTCATTTTTTCTCCTATGGAATATGTGTGTAGCAGATGTAGCCAAAAAATTTGGGATGCTTTGCTGAAGGTTTTCGTCCGCTCCATATTTCCACTGGCGTTTTATCTTGCACATCTTTAGTTGGACATCGATTTAGTAGGTAGACTGCAGTGCTTACTGCTTCTGCCCAAAAAGTTTCTGGAAAACTTTTCTCCATTAGCATAGCTCTAGCTGTCTTCATTATTGTTCTATTCTTTCTTTCTGACAAGCCATTTTGTTCAGAAGCGTATCCAACTGTGAGTTGATGCTCCATTCCTTCGTCTTCACAAAACTTATTGAATTCATTTGATGTATATTTTTTGTCTCTGTCGCTTCTGATAGTTTTGATATTGCATCCACTTTGCTTTTCAACATAACTTTTGAAACTTTTAAAAATCTCAAATACTTGGGATTTTTCACGTAAGAAATATATCCATGTCATAGTTATCAATGAAGAGAATGAAGTACATGTTTTGCCCATGTGATGGAGTACGCATCGGACTACATACATCTGTATGTATTAGCTCTAATGACTTTTTAGCTCTTCAAGATTTTCTGGATGGAAATGGTTGGCGGTATTGTTTCCCGAGCAAACATCCTTCGCAGACTGTATCAATCTCTTTTATGATTAGTAAGTCTCTTATTATGCTCTTTTGCTATAGGATCTTCAACCCATGGAAATGGAATGTCCAAATCTTTAGTCCCATAACCATGGCTCGTTCACTTGTGCCATCATTGCTGCACTGTTTGCATATCTCCATTAGATTGGAAAGCATCTTTTTATCTTTCTTATCATAGATCGTGCAAGAATCTCCTTCAAAATGTAATGTATATCATTTCTCCACAATTTGACCTACACATAATAGATTTTGATCTATTGTAGGGACTAAGAGGACTTCATTGATGTATCTCTTACCCTTTTTTGTGTCAACATCAATAGTGCTTTTACTTGTCGCCCCTATAAAATTTCCATTGCCAATCTTGATTTTTCCCTTGATTTTATCAAGATGCTACAACCACTGTCTAGATACCACGTATCCAGTTTGTCATCAAATGCATCTTTGCTAGTGGCATAAAATAAACTTTCTTCTATATCCTTTTTTTCAGAGAAATTAACTTGATGATTTTGTTTAGAACGACAAAAATTTTCGTCATGACCAAATTTTTTACAATAACAACACTGTGATTTTTCTTTAAACCAAGACGTTTTCTTTTACATATACCAGATGAAGGATACTTGCCGCTTTTATTAAATTCTTTTCCTAGAGTTTCTTTATTTTTTACAATTTTTTTTAAAAATTTTTCTCCCACCTTCTTTAGATTTCTGAAGCCGCTTTTATTAAATTCTTTTCCTAGAGTTTCTTTATTTTTTACAATTTTTTTTAAAAAATTTTCTCCCACCTTTTTTAGATTTCTGAAACCGCATATTAACTTTAATTTGAAATGCGTTTTCCATGTTAATATCATAACGTCTTTCTAATCTTTTTTCATGTGCTTCTAGTGAACCCATTGAGTCTGAAGCTGCCAACTTATCTTTATCTTTTGACTCCTCAATAGCCACAATATTTGGATCATATTTTTCTGTGCAAGTAATTAAAACTTTTTCAACGACTTTCTTTTGAGGAACATCATTTTCATAAGATCTTAATTGATTTACTATTTCATCTATTCTTGAATAATAATCTTTTGCGGTTTCAGAATCTTTCATTTTTAAATTTTCAAAATTCCTTCTTCAAGTTTAAAGACGACAAGTACATACCTTGTCACTGTCGTGAAACTCCTCCTTTAGTTTATCCTGAGCTTCTTTTGCTGTTTTGACTCCCATGATTCTTGAAAAATAAGTGTCCATCAAGCTCATTTGTAGAACAAGTAGTGCTAGAGAATTTTTTTGTCGATTATCTTTAAATTCCTTCTTTTGTGCGATAGATAGAGTGGAAATGTCATCTAGGTTAATATACTCATCATTGACGACATCCCATAAATTTTGCGCACAAAAGTAGGTCTTCATTTTGATGGACCAAAAGTAATAGTTGTCTCCATTAAATGTTGGAATAGAGATGGATGAACGGAAAGCGTCTGCCGTAATATCTGATTACGCCCAATATCAATCGAACGTAGCTCTGATACCACTGATGATTTTTCTTGTAGTGATGAGATTAAAATAGATGGGTCAATATATTTTGTATGGGATAATTTTGGAGGTAGAAAATAGTTAGTCTTTTGTTGGAAGTTAGTAGTATGAAAGATTTTGATAGAAAGTAATTTAGCAGACAAAGTGGATAGGAGAAAGGAACTTTATTAGAATGACAATGGCTTTTGCTTACAATGGTTTTTTTTTTTTTTTACATACAAATAAAAGACTCATAGCCTATTTATAGACCATAACTTATATATGATTTCTTCTAGATAATTTTACATGTGCCTACAAACCACACAAGCTTTTTTAGTGCTCAAGTTTCTCTAGTGAATTCTAGATAATTCTGATTTTTTATTATTCTTGCTTGCCAAACAATTCTAGGATATTCTTGCCAAGCAATTCTAGGATCTTCTAGCAAATTCCCAAAATATGCATCAACCATCAATAAAAACAAATTGAAAAGTTTAATTAAAGAAAACCAACTAAAATTTCTTTGACAAAGTAAGAACTGAAAAAAGACAGAGGAGGACAAGAAAGGGGGAAGAAAGAATGAGAGAGAGATTTTGTAAGCAAGATTGGTCCACATCCTAAACAAACAACTCAGCACCTATTATCACAGCTACCATCCTATGGAGCTCGTTCATATCTGTAGAAACCAACTTTTGTACCCTCTTATCACAACTGCCATCCTAAGAAGCTCGTTCATATATGTAAACCAACTTTTGTACCCCTTCCGAATATAAAATTTCCTTGCGCCGTATACGTTACCCCATCATGGAAACTGACCCAAAAGTATTAATAGCTTACGAACATGAAATCAAAGCTCACAATGAGGAAAAAAAGAAAAACCTACACAGTGGGCGAAGCGCTCTACGCAGCACGGAGCAAGAGCTCCATCCACGGAGCCTGCTTCATGTCCAACATGGAGCTGTTGCTTCGTGCCGCACGGAGCAATCAAGCCATGCCCAATCAAGTTCCATAAGGTTAAATAGGATGAAGAAAATTGACAAATGTGAGGGGTAACTCAAAACGGTTGAATTATGGCCATTGAAGTACTGAAAAATTCTCATTAAGGAAAAGGAAAACATAAAATTCAGACATGTCAAAAAAATTTAATCACCCACCTTACCTTCAAAGCCGCTCGAAGAGAATCAACACAAAATCAACAGACAACAGGTGCTTCTTCCATTCACACAAATCAAATCCTCAGAGCCTGAAAATAAAGAAATAAAAAGTAGATAATTACCAAATGACAAAATACAGGAAGAACTAATAAAATCACAAACTGAGGGCTAGGTTGTCTGAAAACTTCGCACTTTTCAGTCGTGAGTTTCTTTGTCTAAAAGGTTGCGTGAGATTGTGACAAAAG